CAACACAATGCACCAAAAACACCGACCAAGTGGTAATGGCAGAGATACGCGTTTATCCAAGGCACCCTGCTGCGTATCATACGTATGGGGGTGGCGCTCGGACAATATTGCGACGCTTGTTGGAAGAAGGCGAAGCTGTCGACAAGTATTTCAACGTTGAACGGTTGAGGGGCAAAGAGAGAGCTGAATTGATAGACAGTCAGAAATCAGCAATGCCAATGGGTTTCCGATCCTTCACCAATTGAATGGCGGGAAAATGCTGCACCGTACCTCGGGTAAGACCTTTCGATGGAGAACGTATGGGGCTATTTGGAGAGCAGAGGTTGCAAACTCGCTTTCGAGCGCCCGTTCTTGGACGGAGCAAATGAGGATGGGAAGCGCCCGGCTCGTGGCCAAGGGGGGGGCGTGGCCAAGCCGCCGGCGCAGCCGGCAGGCGGGTCCGCCTCTGGTGCAGCCAGGCCTCCACCGCGTTTTGGTGATCCTCAGGAACCGATGCCTCCGCCTCCCAAAGCAGCCGGACCTCCTTTGCCGCCGACGCCTAAAGGTCGGGGGGACATGGCGGCTGCTGAGTCGGATGCCGTCTCTCAAGAAGGGGGCCTTTCTCCTGCGGCGCCGCCGCCAGGGGGCAGGAGTCATTGGGGACCATTGTCAGACAATGCGTCGAAGCCGCTTGCGCCCCCTCCTGGGCCTGCCCCGAAGTCACTGGCCACGCAAGTGACTCCGATCAGATGCCAGCGAGGGGTCCAAGAGCGCCGCCACCAAACATTCGAAATCGGTGGAGGCCCTCTCTGAGAGACGACTTATCTACGGCTGCGGCGGGTACGCCTGGCGTAGGAAGCGCGAAGAGTCGGATTGCGCCTCCGACGTTGTCTCCAAAGGGCCACTTTGCTTCGATCTTTAACGCGGCAAAAAGGCACCTGGCACCCCGGCAGAGGCGCAGCAAGAGCAGCCCGGCAAAGCCAGAGCTAGCCAGAAGACTATTGAAGTAAGTGCCCCGGAGGGTCCTCGAACTTTTGCGCTTGACTTGCCAGGTCGTCCTCCTGCGGGTGCGACAGTGCGCGACCTGCAGGCCTCCCGACCAGATGGGCTTGGTGAGTGTGACGGAGAAGGGGCGAAGTATAATTTCGATTTGTTGTTGCCTCCAAATGATCTCCCAGACAGTGATCCTGTGTCAGTGGTTGCTAATTTGGTCAGGGGTTTGTTCCATGCATTTTGGGCCTCAATTGAGCCGAGCACATGTGTCACTTCGTAATGAACTCATAATGCTCTGGCAAGCCCGCCCCGGCGGACTTCAGCTTCACAGTGTTAGGGGGCTCGCTGTTGAGGGGGCGACCTTTTTGAGGGATGAAATGATAACCTGGGCACTTCGCTATCTAAAGCAAGCAGGTGAGAAGAGGAATAGACCCTCTGAGTATTCATCGCCTTATGAAAATTGGGCCTATTGTCTGCGTAACTTCATCCAGATTCGCTATCCGCAGTATATTCCCACGGAAGAAGTCCCAAATACCCGAATGATTGTTGACCCAATGGCGTTGACCGGTACAACCGGGGACAACGAAGAGTCCACCGCAGCGAAATCAGATGGGGAAAGTGACGCACGACCCACTGAACCGCAGGACAACCGACTAAGGATCCCTTATTTTGGGGACGACCCCAACGACTCCGACTCCGACTCCGATGAATCCGCCTCCACTTCCGACTCCGACGACGAAAGCTCCGACGACTCCGACGACTCCGACTCCGACTCCGATAACTTCGACGATTCCGACGATTCGGGCTCCGACCCCGAACGTACAATTTGTAGTCCTACATTTGGTTCTTCGGCAGAACTTGAAGGGGCTCTGCCGAGGAGCCGAATGTAGAACTTCAAACTCTGCCGAGGAGCCGAAGGTCGAACTTAAAGTTCTACATTCGGCTCCTCTGCTGCTGACGACGACTCCGTCTCCGACGACTTCGGTTCCGACTCGGACGACTCCGACGTCTTCGACTACGACGACTCCGCCTCCACCTCTCATTCCGACGACGAGAACTCCAACGACTCCGACGACTCCGACTCCGACGACTCCGACGATTCTTCTTTGGGTTCTGAGTCCGAATGCAGAATTTGAAGTTCTACATTCGGGTCTTCAGCAGAATTTGAAGTTCTGCCGAGGAGCCGAAGACAGAACTTCAAGTTCTACCTTCGGTTCCTCTGTTGACAACGACGATGACTCCGTCTCCGACGACTGCGACTCCGTCTCCGACGACTCCGACTGCGACTCCGACTCCGACGACTCCGCCTCCACCCACTTCCGACTCCAACGGGAACTCCGACGTGTTTTACGATTACGACTCGTATTCCGACGACTCCGACGACTCCGACTTCGATTCCGTACGTAGGATTTGAAGAACTACACTCGGTTCCACGGCAGAATTTGAAATTCTGCAGTGGAGCCGAAGGCAAAATTTCAAGTTCATCTGGGGAGCCGAAAGTAGAACTTCAAGTTGTACCTTCGGCTCCTCTGCTGACGACTCCGACTCCGACGGCTCCGACGACTCCGACTCCGACTTCGACGACTCAGACGATTCCGTTTCCGACGCATCCGCTTCCACCTCCGACTCCGACTCCGATTCGGACGATCCCGGCGATTCCGACTCCGGTTCTGGCGACGAAGCTGCCGACGATTCCGACTCCGATTCCGACTCCGAATGTAAAATTTGAAGTTCTACATTCGGCTCCTCTGCTGACGACGACGACGGTTCCGACTCCGACGACTCCGACTCCGACGTTTCCGACGTATCCCAATCCGACGACTCCGCCTCCATCTCCGACTCCGACGACGAAAACTCAGGCGATTCCGACTCCTACTCCGACTCTGGCGACTTCGACTCGGTTTCCGACCCCGAATGTAGAATTTGAATTCCACATTCGGCTTTTCGGCAGATTTTGAAGCTCTGCCGAGGAACCGACGGTATGCATTCAAGTTCTGCTGAGGAGCCGAAGGTAGAATTCCAGGCTCTACCTTCGGTTCCTCTGCTGACGACGACGTCGGCGACTCCGTCTCCAACGACTCCGACTGCTATTCCGACGACTCCGACGACCCCGAGTCCGACGACTCCGCCGCCACCTCCGACTCCGACGACGAAGCTGCCGACGGCTCCGACGACTCCGACTCCAACTCCAACTCCGAATGTAAAATTTGAAGTTTTGCCGAGGAGCCGAAGGTATAACTTCAAGTTCTATTTTCGCCTCCTCTGCTGACGACAAACGACTCCGTCTCTGACGACTCAAACTCCGACTCTGACTCCGACGACTTTGACGACCCTGACGACGCCGACTCCGCCTCCACCCCCACTCCGACGACGAAAACTCCGACGTGTCCGACGACTCCGACTCCGACTCCGACGACTTCGACGATTCCGACGTCTCGGACGAATCGGTTTCCGACTCCGAATGCAGAGCTTGGAGTTTTTCAGTCGGCTCCTCTGCTGACGACGACGACAACTCCGACTCCGACGACTCGGACTCCGACTCCGACGACTCCGACGACTCCGACTCCGACGACTCCGCTTCCACCTTGAACTCCGACGACGAAAACTCTGACGACTCCGACGACTCCGACTCCGACTCCGATGCCGATGACTCCGACGACTCCGACGTCTCCGGTTATGACTCCGACTCCGAATGTAGAACTTCAAGTTCTACGTTCGTTTCTTCGGCAGAGCTGGGATGTCTGCCGAGGAGCCGAAGATAGAACTTTAAGTTCTGACGAGGCGAGTCGCCCGGCCGCGAGGCGCGCGTGCGCGCGCCGCGGGGCAGGGAAACTCGCGCAAAACTGTGTTCAGCATGTATAGAAACCAACAGACTACAATGCTATAAACGGTATGATTAACATGCGATACATATATTAACATATATTAACACATACATATATATACATCTATATATATACACATATATATATATATAATGCATCATTACTACGATTCCTGCGTATCATTTATGTATAAATCGTAGAACACGTGTCAGCTTATATACCCTCCTCCCGCTGTCCGTACCATCTCCACTTTCCCTTTTTTCTTCTCCGCCCCCTTGTCCTCGTTGCCATCCTGCTCGCCTCGTCATCCTCCTCCTCCTCCCACAACCCCTCCTCCTTCTCGTTCAGCCTTCCCTCGTCTTGCTCTCTCCGGGGAAACCCACCCTGGAGCCGGCGCCTCCACGATTTCCGAACATAATTCGAACATGTTCGAACATGTTTCGAACATCTCCCCCAAAACACCCCGAACATTTTTGGAACATATTCGGATATTGTCTTGATTCCCACGTTTCCATACGTTAGTAAATTACAAGGTGTAGGGCGCGTTCATATGAATAGTCGCCTTGCGTGGAGAAGGGGTTGGGTACGTCTCGGGTAATCACAACTGCATTTTTAAAAAGTATTTCCCTATCTCTCTCTCTATCCCTTCCTTCCGTCCCTTCCTCCCTCTTTCCCTCCTTCCGTCCCTCCAACCCTCCCTCTTCCTCCTCCCCCCGATCCCAGGCGGATAATACAAAGGCTTCTCCGAGAGCAGGTCGTCAGATCAGCGTTCCCACCCCCACTTGCCCCCTTCCTCCCTTTCGCTCTGACCTGGACCTCCTTCTTCTTCTATTCGGTGGGCAGTGCACATTCTCCTCCTCCCCAGTTCTTGTGTACCGTCGCCTCCTTCTGATCAGCCGCTTTGGAGCATCCAGCCGAGGACGTTTGACCCGGGCCAACTTCGCGCAAGCGTGCTGGCACGACTGCCAGCCTCCCCCGCGTGTGCGGCAACGTGGGCGTCAGGGCCTCCTGTCTCGGGCACCTCCCGGATCCCGAGGCCGCACAGCCTCGAGAACAGCGCCAGATCGGGGCTCGTTGGCTGCCCCCCAAACGCTCGAGGCCGCCCACCAGCCCCGAGCAGCCCCGCCTACAGCCCGACCCCCGCGGCGTTCCCCCTGCCGCCCATCGGTCCCCGCCTGGCCCCTCTCCGCGCTCCCCTCCCAGCTTGCGACCCGCTCGCCTGCCCCCTCGCCTGCCTTCGGGGCCGTCCACGAGGAGGGTGATGGCCAGGGGTGCGTGGGGATACAATCGTGGCCCAGGGCACGAAATCTCCATGTGTTCATGGTGCCCCCTCTTCTCTCAGCACGCTCCCTGGCCCCCCCCCTCGGCGCATCCGGCGCCCGTGCCATGCTGAGTTTCTCCTGTTGCCTCTCGCACCCAGAGCGGGGATGTGTCCATGGTCCATAGCCAGCGACTGGGGGATCGATCTTCGGGGACATCGGCAGGCGGTGGACATGGATTTATTTTTGTCCCAGGGGGGGCACGAGAACATCCATGTTCACCGCCCTGTGGGGTCCCAGGACATCGGTTCCTCTTGCGGTGGATGTGGTTAAGTCCCCGCCTCGCATACCGTGTGCTGTTTCGCTGCCGCTCTCGTCGTGGTGGTGGTCGTCGTTTTCCTCCGCACTGGCATGACCACTTGCCGTAAGTTGGAGACAGGACGCAATCAGGGGCAACGTTAGGGGGGGATAGGGGATAGGCTCAGGGGCGGATGCATCGACCCCCAGTCGCCTAGTCATCGCCGATAGGGGCCCGATAACCCACCCTGCCCAGGAACGTGCGTTTTACCATCGGTGGGCCTATCGCCGATCTATTGGCGATGTATCGCCGATTCCAGGTCGATGTTCCCCCCCCCTCCCCGCCCCCCTGAGCCGGTCCCCTTGTGGTTTTCGGGTCTTAACTCGGACCTCGGGCGGCCGCTCGCCAGGCACCCCCAGAACGCCCTCGGCGAGGCGCAGCCGCTGGAAGGCACCCTGAGGCTTGAGAGCCGTCGAGAACCACCGACAATATCAGACTGCCTCAGAGACCTCGAACCTCGAACCCTTGCCGCGATGCCTCGCGTCCTCCCTCCCCGCTTCCCCTCCCCCCGTCTCCGCCTCTTCCTCCTTTTCTCCTCCTCCTCCTCCTGCTCCCCTCATCGCCGATAAATCGGCGATGTTTTCCCCCCCTGTGCCGGCCCCCCCTATCGTTGCCCCTCGCGCAAGCCAGCCGCCCCTGCAGCAGCCCGCTCGCTGCGGCGAATCGCGCCCGTCGGGCTGATCCCTTCGCCGTTTTCCGCGCGGCGCGTGGTGCGCGGCCGAGCCGTGGACCCCAGAAATAGCTTGGGCTTCAGGAGGGGGTGGGGCAGGGGGGGAGGAGGGGGAGGAGGAGGAGGAGGAGGAGGAGGAGGAGGAGGAGGAGGAGGAGGAGGAGGAGGAGGAGGAGGAGGAGGAGGAGGAGGAGGAGGAGGAGGAGAGAGAGGAGGAGACGAATAACAAGAAAAGCAGGGGGACCCCGAGCTGGCACTGTCGCGTCCGCTGCCCAGCAAGGTGCGGACGCCCCCCTGGCCCTTACACCCCCATCGCGCGACGGGTGGGGTGAAGGCCCTACCAGGGACGGGGTGGGTGCCAAGCTGGGTTGCCAGAGGGAGGGGGCCAAGGGCTCGGGCGAGCCACCGCCGCGAGCGCTCCCTCTGTTCTGCAGACGCTGGAGCCCTCGCTTCCCTGAGCTCAGCCGAGGCCTTCGAAGGCCCTGCAAGGGAGGGAAGCACATTCCTGCGAACTCGCGCCAAATTGTCCAGGCCCTTCCGAGAGGAGGTCTTGCAGGCAGGCACCCGCTGGCGCCCGTCAGCGGTCGCAGTCCAGCCACAGAATTGGCAGAACTACAAGCTGTGTAAATCCGAAGGCGCCAGCTTGTGTGAATGATGCAAGACCGATCCGCCGACCTCAACGGGCCCAGGGACCGAGACGACAACGTCCGAAGGCAAAGGGGCGACCTCAACAGCAGGAATGCGAGGGGATCGCGAGGCCTCCAGCAGGGCCTTCTTCTCGCGCAAAAGCTCGCACGCGCGGCATCGGAAGGACGAGCCAAACGCCACAAACCTATGAGCCGACTTTCGCACCGCCCTATCAAGTTTCGACCCGCGCCTCGCTCGCTCCACAAGGGGCCGCAGCGGGACGAGCCTTCCTGGGGTCGGCGGCGGCAGCCTTGATCATAGCTCTACGGGCCTTCCTGCGGATGAGAGGCGCCTGAGAATCCCACGAGTCGGTCCTGGGATCCGAACGGGCCGAGAGGTTCCAGGACCTTTCCGCAGCCTATTAAGCCGCTTGGTCAGCCAGATCGTTTCCAGCCCGAGCCCGAAGAAAAACTTGGCGAGGGTCCAGACCTTGAGCACTTAAATCTACATGAGACGGAGTCCACTCGAGTGTGATCCTGCCCGCGCCTCTGGCGTCGATGGCCGTCTTGATGCGAAGCTGCAGATCCCAGTTGCGCCCACCCACCGCCCTCGCCCCGACCGCGCTCCTACCAAGGGACCAGGGGGAAGTGGTAGGTATGTATGTACGTATGTATTAGTGCATGCATGCATGCATGTATGTATGCACGTATGTATGTATGCATGCATGTATGCATGCATGCATGCATTTATATATGCATGTACATATGTTTGATTTTATGCATACATGTACATATGTTTGTATGCATGTACGAATCCATGCATGTATGCATGTATGTTTGTATGTATGTATGAACGAATGAGCGTATGCATGCATGCATGTAAGTTTGTATGCATGCATGAATATATATATATATGTATTTACACACGTGTATGTAGGTATATATATATATATATGTAGGCGTGTATTTGCATATGTGTACGCATGTATGCATGCATGTATGTATGTATTATTGAAGTTACTCCCCATCATGCTCTCTACTCTTCTGTATTCTATCTTCTTTCTCTTACTCTCACTTTGCTTTGCGCAATAGCCGTTTCAGCTTCGAGGAAAAAGGGATTTATCTTCATCATGGCAGCGGAGCTCTGAGAGCTCAGCTCTGCGATCCACGGCAACGAGTTCGCGGTCAGACCCGCGGACGCCACCTTGGCGCCAGCAGCGGGCGCCTACTCCGCCACCTTGGTCGCGGTCAGCCCCGCGGCCGAGGTTGCCACCACCGCCGCCGCCGCCGCCGCCTGTACCCCTTGCGGGGCGGCCTCGGCCGCCAGCGCCGCGGGAGGAGCCCAAGGAGTTCTCGGCTTTAGGCCCGGGCTTCGGACAGGCTTCGAGGAACCTCGCGGTGCAGAGGCGGATTTTGGAACAGTTCCCCTCGCAGGCCGTGGTGCGGCCAGGGGCGGCCAGCTACGTGGCCAAGAAGAGGACCCGCGGCCAGCGCCCTAGGGGAGTGCGTCGCACGCAGGAGGCCCTCCAGAGAAGAGCATTGAAAGGCTCTGTGCTCAGAAAGGTGGACAGCGGCGAAGAGCTCACGGAGGAGGAAAAGACCTTCTACCACAAGCGGGTGAGGGAGCTCCTTGACCAGGTGCCGAAGGACCTCCGCAGGGAGGCCATAGAGTACTGTGAGCGCAACAACGACCCAAGGGTGCGAGCCAGCGCTCTCTTTCGCGTGCTGAAGGTCGCCGCTGGGAACGACGACGCTTACGAGCACTACTTGACGCACGGCTGGTCCACCGCTTACGACAATGGCGATGGAGGAGGTGCTGGCGAGGCTCACAGCCATGGAGGCTCAGCTCCAAGCAGTGAGCGCAGAGAACCAACAGCTGCGGGCGGACCTCGCCGCAGCAGAAGCCTCTCGGGCAGGCGCAAGCAGCGCGGCGCAGACCGAGAGGAGGGAGCCAGACGACGAGGCGCGGAGGCTGGCAGCCGGGACCGTGGACACCCGGGTCCTGAACGAACCCAGGATGTTCAGCGGAAAAGAGTCCGATTGGGCTCTGTTCAGCCTCGTGTTCCGCGCGTACGTGGGGGCCATCTCGCCGAGGATGCAGTCCCTGCTCCGGCGCGCTGAGGACTTGCAGCAGTCCATAGAGCGCGGAGACTTAGCCCGGGGCGACGACGCCCTGGACAAGCAGCTGTACTACATCATCACTCTGATGGTGGAGGGCAACGCGCTGCTGAAGGTCAAGAAGGTGAACGAGGGGGAAGGGCTGAAGCTGTGGAGGCTCCTGGCGCAGGACTACGAGCCGAAGCCGTTCAAGAGCCGGCGGATGGTGCAGTGCCAGGCCGTTCTCGGCTACGCCGCCGAGGACGCTGACGTCTGGGTAGTCTTAGACAAGTTTGAAGACTTAGTCAAGGAGTACGAAAACGGGTCCGGGAATACCGTAGACGACGAAACGAAGGTTGGTGTGATTCTCCGTGCGTTAGCCAACGGAGACGCAGACCAGCGGGATCTGTCGAAACATCTCGTTGTGAACTGCAATCGGATCGAGACGTACGAGCAGATCAAGCAAGAGTTGCGGGAAATCGTCGGCACGAACCGGTTTCTCGGGCGGTCTGCGGGCGGTCTGCGCGCTCTTGCTAAAGGGGGCCCGAAGGGGGGCGGACGAGGACAGGCTGGCGGGAAGGGCGGCGACGGTAAGTTGCAGCTTACCATCAAGTTTTCGGGCGACTGTTGGGCTTGCGGCAAAACCGGCCACAGGGCCAGCGAGTGCCGGAGCATCCCGGCAGCCAAGGCCAAGGCGAAACCAGCTGGGAAGGCAAAACCGAAGGCGGCAGCCAAGCGTTTTGCTGGGAACTTTTCGGGAAACTGCGACTACTGCGGCAAACCAGGCCACAAGGCCGCAGACTGCCACAAGAAGCACGCGGACGCCGCAGGAGCAACTAGGACAGGCACCGGGGAGCCGAGCAAGAAACGCACTCGAGCAGAGATTCCCCATCTAGAACAGCAGCTGGCGGCGCTTTCGCTGAAGGCGCAGGGCCTTTCTGGGTCGTCGTCCGGGGCGGCGGGGCCTTCGGAGGTGGGGGGTCTTGGGATCTCGGCAATCGAGGCTAGCGAGGTTTCTGCTGTGTCGTACTCGCGGTCAGATCCGCGAGTTACGATTGGTCTCGACAGCGGCGCGGAGATAACCGTCTGGCCCCCAGAGCTGGCCCCAGAAGTCCCAACCAAGGATTCCCCAGAGTCCCGCCGCGGCGTGAAGTATTACGGCCCTGGGGGCACCGTCGCGCCGTCCTTGCCGAACCTCGGGAAGAGGGTGTGCGAGTTAGACATTGGTGGTGTTCGCAGGCATGCTAATGTTCACATCGTCCCAGTCCGCAAACCTTCGTTAGCACTGTGTGATTTAGAAGATCACGGTCACGATGTTTTCTTCGTCGACGGTCGTCGGTGGGCTCGTCACAGGGAGTCGGGCGAAGTCTTGGAGATGCATCGTAGAGGGGGCAGGTATGAGCTCGACGCAAGAGTCATCCTGCCGTCAAACTGAGACGGGCTGGCCTGGCCGTAAGTCCCGTGGAGGAGGCAAGCTCAGGTGCTCCAGCGGTCGCGGGTAGCTCCGCGGCCCCTCCGGCAGCACTAGCAGCGGGGCCTCATGTTTCACAGTCAGTTTCACCAGGTGGCTCGGCGGACGGCCCCGCGAGCGCACCTGTGCCGGCCGCGGGGCCGAGGGCACCAGCGGGCGGCCCCGCGGGCCAAGGAGGGGTTGGCGGCGCTCATCTCCAGTCTCACATGGCCAACGCTGGAGGCGGGGTCATTCGAGCTCCCCCCTCCCCAAGTCTTCCTTCGGCGGAGGAGATTGCAAGGCGTAATGTTGATCATTGTCCTTGCCAGAGTTGGTGTAGATCGTGCGTGGCTGGTTGTGGGAAGGCAGACAGTCATTTTAGGCGGGAGAGCGACGATCTGAAAATACCTTGTGTCTCTTGTGATTACTGTTTCATGGGGGAGTCGGTGGAGGAGGAGAGGATGTGTGATCGATGTTTACTTATAATTGTACATAAGTTGTTCCAGGATATGTGGTTGACGTCACATGTTGTGAGGCGCAATGGAGTAGATGAATGGGCCGTCAAAGTCACGGCGCACGACCTGGAACAGAGTGGTCTGCAGCACTTCATCTACAAGTCAGACGGCGAAAACGCCATCAAGGCGCTCAAGACCGCAGCCGTCGAAGAACTTCGATCCAAATGTGGGGGGGCCATCGCAGTTAAGATGGAGAAGAGTGGGGCCGGGGAGTCTCAACAGAATGGTGTGGTGGAGAGGGCCATCTGGGAGGTAGGGCCCAAAACCCGGACTCTGGTCCATGCGGGCCAGGAGTTCCATGGAGTAAAACTTCCTTTGGCTCATCCTGTCCGTGTTTGGGCAGTGGAGTACGCCTCACAGGTCATCAACAGAGGTCAAAAGGCTCTGAAAG